CGGGTCGGGGTGGGGGGTGGGGGGCGGGGGGCACAGCGAGCCAGTGCACCCGGCACAGGACATAGCTCTGCGGAGCCACCGGGGTCCTGTGTCCCCCAGCGCTGCCTGCCTCCTCAGGTCCTCATCCATCAGACCAGTGGTTCTCTGGCAGCCCTGTGAGGTGGAGGCCATGGGTTATCCGCCCCATCTGCCAGAGGAGGGAACCCAGGCCCGGCAAGTGAAGCGGCCGGTGGCTCTCGGCTGGGCTGGGCTCAAAAGCAGCGTATTCAACCCTCATTGGAAATGGAAAATGAGCTCTGGCCGGTGTGGCTAAGTGGATAGAACATTGGCCTGCAGGCTGAAGGGTCCAGGGTTCTATTCCAGTCAAAGGCATGTATGTTGGTTGCAGGCTCCTCCCTGTCCCTGAGTCTCTACATCAATGTGTCTCTGTCTCTCCCCCTCCCTTCCACTCTCTCTAAAAATCAATGGAAAAATATCCTCGGCCGAGGATTAACCAAAAAACTAAAAAATGAGGGTGTGGACAGCACTTGCTGCCGTGGAGCCATATTGACAACATAGCACCAGCATAGGGAGCAACATGCAAAGCATGGTCTTGATTTTGTGAAAAAAAGTAAATAGATGGCTGGGCAGCTATAGAGAGGAAAGTGCAAGGGCGTTCCCACAAGATCACCAGGCATTTCTCGGTGGCGGGGTCATGAGTTCTCACTTTCTTCTCAGTATTTTTCTTTTTTTCCTTTCTATAATTTTATTGATTTCAGAGAGGAAGGGAGAGGGAGAGAGAGATAGAAACATCAATGATGAGAGAGAATCATGGATTGGCTGCCTCCTGCACGCCCCACTCTGGAGGGATCGAGCCCACAACCCAGGTGCATGCCCTTGACCAGAATGGAACCTGGGACCCTTCAGTCCGCAGGTCAACGCTCTATCCACTGAGCCACACCAGCCAGGCTCATCTCAGTATTTTTCAGTGTCACCCAGTGTTTCTATAACAAGCACGTATTCTGTGTGTCATCAGAATAAGGAGAATATGCCCAGCTGGCGTGGCTCAGCGGTTGAGTGTCGACCTATGAACCATGATTTGATTCCAGTCAGGGCACATGCCCATGAGGACTTGATCCCCAGTGTGGGGTGTGCAGGAGGCAGCCAATCAATGATTTTCTCTCATCATTGATGTTTCTCTCTCTCCCTCTCCTCCCTGAAACCAATAAAAATATATTTTAAAAAAAGAATAAGGGGAGTGTGACTGCTGGGAAAGAGAAGACAGTCGCAGGGAGCTGGGTGGAGGGTGTGCCTGCCCTGACCCTCCCCCCGCCCCCTCGCCCAGGTGCGCACGCCCAGATGGTGCAGGTGAACGACTCCATGTACGGGTTCATCGGCACCGACGTGGTGCTGCACTGCAACTTCGCCAACCCGCTGCCCAGCGTGAAGATCACCCAGGTCACCTGGCAGAAGGCGACCAACGGCTCCAAGCAGAACGTGGCCATCTACAACCCGGCCATGGGCGTCTCGGTGCTGCTCCCCTACCGCGGCCGCGTGCAGTTCCTGCGGCCCTCCTTCACCGACGGCACCATCCGCCTCTCCCGCCTCGAGCTGGACGACGAGGGCGTCTACATCTGCGAGTTTGCCACCTTCCCTGCGGGCAACCGAGAGAGCCAGCTCAACCTGACCGTGATGGGTGAGCTGCCCGCCCTCCCTCCCCGCGGGCGAGGGCCCGCGCTGGGGTGTGGCCTCCGTGTGTTTCAGGGGCCCAGACTCTCTCTTCTGTTGGCGAGCTCCCAGGGCTCCAGGCCTGGTACCTCCAGTCCCTCTGGCCTGGCTGCCCACAGTTCCTAGGGGTTGGGGGCAGGGCCTCGGCTCTGGACGGAGCTGAGGGTCAGTATTCAGGCTGCAGCCCCACTGCGGGGCCACTGGTGGGCGGCAGGAGGCGTGCAGAGCCTCAGACGCCACGGGAAAGAGGGCTGCAGGAGCCACTGCCTGGATCGTGGCCCGCCTCCCAGAGGCCTGGGCCTGCCCCAGGGGGTGCAGATGGTGGAGCAGAGGCCGGCCATGCAGAGTCCGGGAGGGGTGCCGGGAGCACAGCGATAGGGACAGCTACAGAGACCTGAGCGAGGCCTGGCAGGGGGACCCCACCCGGGCCCCTCTGACCGGGCATGAGAGCCAGGCCCATGGCTCCCTCCATTTCCCGCAGCCAAACCCACCAACTGGATCGAGAGCAGCCAGGCAGCGCTCCGTGCGGAGAAGGGGCGGGACGAGAAGGTCCTGGTGGCCACCTGCACCTCGGCCAACGGGAAGCCGCCTGGCGTGCTGTCCTGGGAAACGCGGCTGAAGGGGGAGGCTGAGTACCAGGAGGTCCGGAACCCCAACGGCACGGTCACCGTTGTCAGCCGCTACCGCCTGGTGCCCGGCCGGGAGGCCCACCTGCAGCCCCTGGCCTGTGTCGTCAACTACCACCTGGACCGCTTCCGGGAAAGCATCACCGTCCACGTGCAGTGTGAGCGGGGGCAGGTGCGGCGGGCGGGCCTCCCGGGAGGGCCCCCTCCCTTCCCGCCCCGCCCTCCCCAGGCCTCCCTTCTCCTGTCACCCTCCTGGCCTCCTCTCTCCCCTCCCACCTCTCCCCTTCCTTCTGCCCTCTCCCTCTCCTCTTCCTCCTCCTGTTCTCTTTCTGGGCTGATTCGTCCCCCTCCTCTCTTCCCCATCACCTCCCTTTGCTCACCCTTCCTCTCCTCCTCCTTGTTCCCCTTGTTCTGTGATCCTCCCACCCCTCACGCTTCCCCTCTCTGGCTGGTTCCGTGCCACTGTCAATGCCACCCCTTCGCTGTCTGGGGTCCCCTGGCCTCGCGTCCTGCTCCTCTGACCTCGTTCTTTTGGCCACAGATGAGCCTGAGGTGACCATCGAAGGGTTTGATGGGAATTGGTACCTGCAGCGGATGGATGTGAAGCTCACCTGCAAAGCCGACGCTAACCCTCCGGCCACCGAGTACCACTGGACCACGTGAGTGCGAGGGCCGGACCCTGGGGTGCCTGCTGGTCACAGAGGGCCCCACGCAACCTCGGGAGCTTGAGCCAGGGAGGAAATTCAGGTCTAGGCTCGGGTTTCTTGGTGAGAAGGGGAATGGCCTGTGAGAGGCCTGAGCGAGTGACAGCGTTGGTCAGCGGGACAGACCGGTCGGTCAGAGGCTCACCTTGTGACCTGCCCCCTTCTGCTCCTATTAATGCTGCCCTTTCCCGCGGGTGATTCAGTCTGAGTCGCTGCCACCCCAGCCCCCAGCATTTATTTCTGTCCAGGTGTCCCCAGGAAAGCTAGCTTTCTGGAGCCTTCCAGACCTTTCTCTATTCCTGTTCCTTCTCCAACACCCCCATATTCTCAGTCAGCCCAGAGCACCTGTGTTCAGAGGGCTCATTCCACGTCCCATTGTCCCTCTCCTGGCTTCTTGGGCCTCAGGCCTGGTCCTCAGAGGCTCTGTCCCCTCCAGTGGCCCAGGGCCGCAGCCAGCTCTCCTGGAGAAGGGCTGTGGGGACAGAGAGACGGTGTAGGGAGGCCGAGGAGGAGCCGACACGGTGGGCAGAGACGGCTGTCTAGATTACATCTACATCTTTTTCTTTTTTTAAACACATTTATTATTTTTTAAATATATTTTTATTGATTTCAAAGAGGAAGGGAGAGGGAAAGAGAGAAACATCAGTGATGAGAGGGAATCATGGATCGGCTGCCTCCTGCAGGCCCCCGACTGGGGATCGAGCCCTCAACCTGGGCCTGTCCTCTGACCAGGAATCAAACCGGACCCTTCGGTCCGCAGACCGACGCTCTACCCACTGAGCCACACCAACCAGGGCTCCCCATTCTTTTGCAGGAGGGAGAGGGCACTGGGCACCTGCCGACGCCCTCTACCTCCTGGAACCGGAAGTGCTTCCGAAGGTGTGAGTGCGTGGGGCCTGCTCGCCACTTCCATCCACAGCTGTGGAGCCCACGGAGTAATCGCTCTGCGGCCTTGGCGATCAAGAGGAAGGAAGTTCCCTATGTTCCGGAAACTTCCAGGCCTGTGACATGACCAGCAAGAACAGAGAGGGAAATGGAACAATTCCTAAGCCTGGGTCACATCTCCTTACCCAAGTAACTTGTTAAAATGCAGATAGCCAGCCCGGCCGGCATGGCTCAGGGGTTGAGCGTTGACCTATGAACCAGGAGGTCATGGTTCAATTCCTGATCAGGGCACATGCCCAGGTTGCAGGTTCCATCCCAGTGTGGGGTGTGCAGGAGGCAGCCAATCAATGATTCTCATCATTGATGTTTCTCTCTCTCCCTCTCCCTTTCTCTCTCAAATCAATAAAAAAAAATAAAAAAAAAATACAGATCCCCAGACCATGGCCCCAGTGGTCCTGCTTTAGTGGAGCTGGGGTGAGAGCCCAGACATCTGTGTGGTTAACCAGGTCAACAACCAGGAACCACGAGTGTTAGAAAGAGCGCCGGGCAGGCGCCCAGAGAGCTGGCTGAAGCTCCAGTCCTGCCCCTTATTGGCTTTCCTTGGCCTTGACCCTCAGGGCCCTCCACCTGTACAGTGGGGCTCCCATCCCCAGGAGCATCCGGGGCAGTGACAGTCAGGAGTGAACGGCCGAGGCACAGAGCGCTGCCCCGTGCAGGAGACGGTGGTGGTTCTCCTTTGACTCCTTCCGAGCCAGACCCGCCCTGCTCACTGCTGGGCTGGCGCCAGGTGGTGGCAGGAGGGTCCTGACCGACCGTGTCCCCACCCCGCAGGCTGAATGGCTCTCTGCCCAGGGGCGTGGAGGCCCAGAACAGAACCCTCTTCTTCAGGGGACCTATCGACTACAGCCTGACGGGGACCTACGTCTGCGAGGCCACCAACCCCGTCGGCACCCGCTCGGGCCAGGTGGAGGTCAACATCACAGGTGGGAAGCCGCACCCTCCAGCCCCCCTGGCCCCCCACTTCTCCTCCACTGCCGCGTCCCCCGCCTTCCGGTTGCTTTGTCACAGGAAGCTTGTGCCTCCTTTTCCTGCGTCTCCCATTCTCCTGGGAAGCCTGGCCTTTCTCTTTCCTCGTTTACGGCTGTGAGAGACAGTCGGGAGGCCCCCAAGCAGGAGGGGGAAGTGCTGTTCACAGCAGAGCTGCTTGTGGTAGGGGTGTGAGCGTCCACCCGGGGCTCTGCCAGCAGCAGTCACTGTGGAGGCCAGCTTGAGGGAGGGGGGTTGCGATGGAGCTAATCTCCAAGCTCTGCCTCTGGGGTTCAGGGAGCTCCCATGTGCTGGAGGAGGAGGCCGGCCTGGAGGAGGAGGCCTGCCTGGAGGAGGGGGAGGCCTGGAGGAGGAGGAGGCCGGCCTGGAGGAGGAGGCCTGCCTGGAGGAGGGGGAGGCCGGCCTCTGCAGGGATACTGGAGGGAGAGCAAGGAGGTCGCCCAGAGCCAGGGTGGTGTGTGGGCCCTGCCGCTGAACTGATGTTCTCCCTGCATTTCTCTCTCTGTCAATGCAGAGGAGGGTCAGCCACCAGACCTTTCGGGGCAAAGGGAGGATGTGGGCTGGGAGGCTCGGAGACCTCACAGGGCTGAGAAAGAGCAAGGCCTTTCATGTCAGGCGGGCGGGACCTGGATGAGCCCTCGTCTGTAAAATGGGGAAAATACGAGGTGCCGTGAGGGGTCAGGATGGTACCGAATGTGGGCCCAGGACAGCACAGACCTGCCTCCCTGTGAATGGCCCGCCCTCCGTGGTCATCTCAGACTCCGTCGTCACTGCTACGGGAAAGACAGGAACAGGCCTCCCAGCTTCCCAGGCGGAGGAGGCCGTGTCTTCAACTTGGCCTCGGCGGTGCAGGATGCGCGCGTGGCAGAGTGGCATCGCGGGTGTGTCTCGGGGACAGGGGTGCGTGGGCGGAGGTTATGGGGCCCGGGGCGGGGCTGGGCAAACCTGAGGACCGTGAGTTCCGAGCCTGTGAGGAGCGGCGGCCTTGCTGGTATATTGGGGCCCAGCTGCAGGAAGAGCAGCTGTGGCTGCACTAAGCCCGCCTCGACCTGGGGCCGGGCTGTCTGTCACCTCTCGGGGTGCAGCGGGGGCACTTGCTCTTTTCTTCAATTCCCTGCCATTGGCCTCCAGGCTCTTCGGGAGGGACCTGTTAGACTGGAGAGAGCCCAGGCCGCCCCACAGGCTGGCACTGGGGGCAGCCAGGATGAGGGGTCATCATGAGGGAGCCCGACCACCCAGGGAGAGGCCGGCGTATGGGGGTACAGACTCGGCCTGAGTGTGTTCACATACTTGCCCTTCTGGCTGTGGCCTTGAACTAGTCCTTCGCTCGGGGCCTCAGCTTCCTGGGCTTTCTGTGGAGACCTCGGGCTTCTGATGGTCACACCAGCCTGCACTCCCTTCCCCAGGTGGACCCCCCTCCCACAATGCTGCCCCCTCCCTCCTGGGCGCGCCAGGGCAACCACGGGTTACAACATCTGGGAGGAGCCACGGAGCCCAGGCAGCTTCCTCCCGGTGCCCGGATCCCTGCCGGGCTGCCGGTCCGTGGTGCTGCTCAGCCCAGAGACAGGGTGGGCACGACCCAGGCCGCCCTTTGCCCAACGCCCCAGAGGATGCCGTGCCCATGAGCACTCGCTGCTCATCAAAGCCGCACCCGATCTAGGAGGGGCAGGGGCCCGGAGGTGCTCGGGGGACAGAGCAGAGGACAGGAGGAAGGGAGGCAGCTGTGGAGGTGGCCATCTCCCGGGTCAGTCTGGATGGCCAGGTGGGCAGGGTGTGCCCTGGAGATCGAGAGACCAGGTGGTGACTGAGACACCCAGGTGGTGAGCAGCTGGCAGAGGGACCCTGTTCTGCAGCTGGTCAGGCAGAGCCCCGGAGCGCGACACTCCCTGAACCAGCGAGGGCCCGGGCCGTTCGCTGCCTCCTGAGGGACGGTCTCAGCCGGCACCAGGCCTTGGCCCGGCTGTGTGTGCTGTGCTCACGGCAATTTCTTTTAATATTTTTTATTGATTTCAGAGAGGAAGGGAGAGGGAGAGAAACATCAGTGATGAGAGAGAATCATGATCGGCTGCCTCTTGCACGCCCCCTACTGGGGATCGAGCCCACACCGGGCCTGTGCCCGACCGGAATCGAACCGTGACCTCCTGGTTCATAAGTCAACACTCAACCCCTGAGCACACCGGCCGGGCTCAAGGCAATCTCTAGGCAGCAGCCCCCCAGTCTTCACCAGCTGGTGCCTGTCACACCCCCTGTCCACGAGGCCCAGCCCTGTCCTCCCCACGCCCGGCTGGCCTGGAGGGACCGTGTGAGGGAGATGAGCAGTGGAAGCTCTCGTTTCCGTTCTCCCATCTGTTCGGGGAGCAGCTGAGCCCTGGTGCCTGTGCAGAGGGATGGAGAGCAGTGGGGCCAGGATGGACAGAAGGTGGGCCACAGGGCGTGTGCACAACACACGTGTGTGCAGGGCACGCGTGTCCCTGGCCACTGCACCACCACACACACATGCTTTGGCACAGGATTCTCTAGGTCCCGGGTCCCGGAAGAGGTGGTATTTGAGTTGTTCCTACAGGGATGAGTGTGTGGGCGGAGGTGGGGGTCCCCTGGGGGGAGTGTGTGGGAGGAAACGGAAGGAGGGGCTTTCTCTGTCCGAGGGGAGCCTGCGGGTTCACGGAGAGGCAGTGGCAGGGCTGGTTCCGACCGAGCATTTGGGAGGCGCTGTGGATGCCGTGGGGAGCGGTAAGGGCTGCGTGCGGGTCTTCCTAGGGGACCCAGGGCCTGCAGGGGGGCCGTGGGGTGAGAGCAGAGGAAACGACCTCCCCGGGGTTCCCACGGGGCCTGAGCCCCGCTGAGGGCAGGTCACAAAACAAACTGGTGAGCCCCCTCCCTTCTCCCCGTGGGTGGTGCTCAGGAGGTGTCCCTGATCAAACGAAAGAGGCTGAATTAGGCCCCTGGGCTGGGGGTGCAGGCCACTTGCAGAGCAGGCCCCCTTCCCATGAAGGTGACGGGTGTGCCCCATGGGCAAGGTGCTCTTCAGACCCAGGGCTGGTGCGCCGGTCCCGAGGGGCGCCCCTGGGCGAGGAGATGTGCCAGCAGCAGGTGAGCAGCTGCGTGCCGAGTGTGCCGACGGCCCGGCCGGGCCGGGGCGGGTGTCTGGGAAGGCAGCTGTGCCTGCACCTCCGAGGACCCGGCGCCCCTCGGGCTCGATGAGGCCCCTTTGCGGGTCTGACAGATGCTCAGCTGCTGCAGCTGCAGAGGAGGGAAGAGCTCCCCTGAGTCTGACCCCTGGCCTTCCCACTGTCCCTGGCTCGCCGCACTGCATGCTGGGAGGTGTAGTTCTCACGGCGTCCAGCCTAATCTGGTGCCCGAGCACTTCCTGCCTGTCTGTGTTGGTTGGGAAGCAAGTCCAAGCATTCTTGTTGGCCACAAGCCTCCTCCAGATCCCAGATCCAGACTGCCAACCCCAGCCCTTCCCTCTGCTCAGACCCACTGAAGCCCCCGCCGCAGTCCCCCAGCTCCATCAGGGACCAGGGCCCGGAGGGATGCAGAGGCCCCATGCCCCAGGGGAAGCGCAGCCAGTCAGGAACGGGCCACGCTGCCCCTTTGTAAGAGGATTTGAGGGCTGCAGCTGGATCCCGCCCCGCCAGCAAGCACAGCAACCCGCTGAGCCCTCCCTCCCCTCCCCGCTGCAGCGATGGAGGCTGTGTGTGCTGCTGGCACACGGACAGGGCCTACGGCTGCACGGGCAGCTGGAGGGACAGAGTGGGCGGGCGGGTTCTCCACAGCAGGCAGCCTGCGCAGGCTGCATTCGTCCCTGTAGCGACTGCTCCCTGGCTCCCCGAGTAGCATCTTCCCCCCCAAGTCTGTGGGGCTAGAGTCGTCTTAAGCCATTCTTCTTCCTCTGCACAGGCCTGGGCCTAACACAGCCAACACAACCAGGGTTCCCCTGGTCCAGAAAGCTCCCTGGGGCCCTGGCTGGTGTGGCTCAGTGGATAGAGCATCAGCCTGCAGACCGAAGGGTCCCGGGTTCGATTCCAGTCAAGGGCATGTACCTTGGTTGCAGGCTCCTCCCCAGCCCCAGGTCAGGGTGCCTGTGGGAGGCAACCAATCGATGTGTCTCTCACATTGGTGTGCCTCTCCCTTTCTCCCACTCTCTAAAACTCGTCTCCAAGAGTGTGAGTCCTGTCCCCTGTGGACACGAGCAAAGTAGGTGCTCAGCACACGCTTGCTGACCAGGTGGCCGGGCGGACGGATAGATGGAAGGATGAGTGGATGGGTGACGGGTGGAGCAGGTGAAGAGAGGAGAGAGCATCCAGCCTGGGTGGGAACTGGAGCGGCCACAGGAGGGGAAGGTCACAGGAGGGCAAGGTCACTGGCAGTGCAAGTTCTGGAAGAGGCCGCTGCCTCTCGGTGCCGCTCGTGGGGAGCATGTGTGAGACCAGAAGAACCTTGAGGCTCCAGAGATGCTGCTCTGGACGTGGACAGTGAGGACAGATATTCAGTAAATAATCATTGGGCAGCCCGGCCGGCGTGGCTCAGTGGTTGAACGCTGACCTCTGAACCAGGAGGTCACGGTTCGATTCCCGGTCAGGGCACAGGCCTGGGTTGCAGGCTCCATCCCCAGCGTGGGGCGAGCAGGAGGCAGCCGGTCCCTGATTCCCTCTCATCATTGATGTTTCTCTCTCTCTCTCCCTCCCTTCCTCTCTGAAATCAATTTTTAAAAAAACAAACTAGATTTAAAAATAAAAATCACTGGGCGGCCATGTGGGCACCTGCGCGGAGGACACAATGGGGACCAGAGCTCTGCCGACTCCGCCTGTGGACCCCCCACCCTCCTCCGTGTGTGGCCCTTCCAGCCTGAGCCCTTGGAAGGACTTTTCCATCCTGGAATCTCTGCCCTGGTCCCCCTGCTGCCAACAGCGCCGCACACCGCAGAGGGGCCGCCCGCCTCAGAGGAGGGGCAGGTGCCCGCGCAGTGAGGGAGGCTGAATCAGAGCGTGAGCTGGCAGAGACCTACCCGAAGGCCAGGACATAGGCCCAAACCCACCCTCCACCTGCAGAAAGGAGGGATGCCCAGGGCCCCAGCCTCCAGGTGTGCCTGGACCTGCGCTGCTCCTCTGGCTGGGCTGGCCGTGGTCTCCGGTGCCACCCTGTGGTGGTGCTGGGAACTGCCCCTCCGGCCTCTGGCCTGGCCCCACTGGCCAAGAAAGTCACCTGCCCAGCCTCTCTTCCGTTCTCCTTTCTACCTTTCCTGCCTCTCGCTCCCACTCTGTCCTCAGTGTGACCGTGTCACACACACACATTAGCACAGCACACGGCTCGCCGTGCACAGGGGTGTGTGCCCAGGTGCCCTCTGTCCCCTGCAGTACCAAGTCCCATGCTCGCACGCCCGTTCCTACACATCCTGGCGACCCCACCCCTACCCCACCGTGCCCGCAGGGCCAGGCCACAGCCCAGAGCCACAGCCCTGGTTTCCGGCACTTGCTGGGTATCTATGGGGCCAGCCCCCAGGAGCCGGTCCTCCTCCTCATGCTCCAGGGGCAGGTGAAGTCAGCGGGCCCGTGACCGCAGGTGTGGGCAGAGGCAGTGGTGCCATTGGCACGGGCTGGACGTGCAGGAGCCCAGGCTGCGTCGTGGCGGTGGCTGTGGGCAGGTCACTGAGCCTCTGGGCTCCCCTGTGTCCACGGGGCGACGTGGCCGTGATGCATCGGTGGGCACGGGGTCAGGGTGGGCCGGCACCACAGCCAAGGAGGTGGGCACAGAAGCTCTGGGGCCACGCAGCTGCCTCTGCCTCCCCTCGCCCTGCAGCCTTGGGGGGGGGGGGCACTGGAGTTGTCTGTCCCCGGGCCTTGGGCCCACTCCCTGGCCGGCCTCCCCCTTCCCTGCCAACGAGCGGACACTGACCGCCCCCGTCTCTTCCTCCCCCAGAATTCCCCTACACCCCGTCGCCTCCGGAGCACGGGCGGCGGGCCGGGCCGGTGCCCACGGCCATCATCGGGGGCGTGGCGGGGAGCGTGCTGCTGGTGCTGCTGGTGGTCGGGGGCACCGTGCTGGCCCTGCGCCGGCGCCGCCACACCTTCAAGGGCGACTACAGCACCAAGAAGCACGTGTACGGCAACGGCTACAGCAAGGCGGGCGTCCCCCAGCACCACCCGCCGCTGGGCCAGAGCCTGCAGTACCCCGACGACTCGGACGACGAGAAGAAGGCCGGCCCGCTGGGGGGCAGCAGCTACGAAGAGGAGGAGGAGGAGGAGGGCGGTGGGGGGCGCGAGTGCAAGGTGGGGGGCACGCACCCCAAATACGACGAGGACGCCAAGCGGCCCTACTTCACGGTGGACGAGGCCCAGGCCTGTCAGGACGGCTACGGGGACCGGACCCTGGGCTACCAGTACGACCCCGAGCAGCTGGACTTGGCCGAGAACATGGTTTCTCAGAACGATGGGTCTTTCATTTCCAAGAAGGAGTGGTACGTGTAGTCCCTCCCAGAGCCTGTCTGCGCCCTCCTCCACCCGCACGCCCCCGCCACCCTCCCCAGCGACCCTCCAGGACTCCCAGGGAGAGCCGGGGCCGCGGCAGAGCCCTGGTTCTGACCCCTGGTCCCACCCTCCCCGCGTGTCCTCTCTGTGGCTTGGATGTTGCTGCGCCTCCTCTCCCTGGCGGTGCCCTGCGCTGGTCTCATCTCGTGCACCTGGGCACCCAGCCCTCCAGGGCCCGGGAGCCCCCTCCCCACCCAACACTGGAATGTCTCTGTTCTCCACTGGGGAGGAGGCCGGAGGGCCTCCCTGAGGAAGAGCCTCCCCCACATGCTGCTCCCCGTTCCCACGGAGAGGGCGCCCGGCCCGTGCGAGTGGACGCGGCCAGAGTTGGAGCCGGTCTAGACCCGAGAGGCAGGGGCGCCCAGGGCGCTGTGAGGCTGTTACATAGACCGGAGGCCCCTGGGCCGTGGGCAGCGTGCTCTCCTGCGGAGGTTGGTGGCATATTCCCTCCTCGTCCTGCAGAGCGATGTCCTACGTGACCCTCCTTGCCACCTCAGTCTGTCCCCACAGAGGGGGGCCCACACCCCCACTCACGACACCCGCGTCTGCTTCCGCACCCCTGGGGTCACACGCCTCCTCCCCTTCCCACCCATGCTTCCCCCAGGACCTCGGGCTGGCCCTAAACCGCTCCTTACAGCACCAAGCCTCTCGGATCTCCTTACCTAGCGAGTTCTAGCAACGCATTTCCTTGGGGTCAGGGTTGGGGTCCCTGAGTGAGAGGTGAGCGGCACCAATGTGGAGGGGGCACGGCCTGGGGGGAGGGAGCCATGCGGGAGGAGCTCAGACCCCGAAGGGTGTGGGTCGCGCCTCACCCACTGAGGCCAGAAAGTGCGAGGGCACGGGGAGCCGGGGATAGAGTCCGGAGCTCCTGCCTGCTCCTGCTCCCCAACTACTTCCTGCTCAGCTGTCCCTGGGCGTCTGGGAGAAGCTGTCCCTCTGAGCTGCATGTTCCGCGTGCATAGGCCCGAGTTCCTGTCAGTCACCCACTCCAGTCTCCACAGAGGAGCAAGGCCCGCCCCGCCCCTTGGTCCCTCCTCAAAGTGCCTCAGGTCCTCCCTCTGCCCCTCACAGCCCCGGCTCTGGATGGGGAGACCCTGGGGGGGGGAGGCGGGGTCACACCTGCCCACTGGCGTTCTGGTGAACTTGGCCCAGCTGTCAGGAGCCCTATGGGGTGGCAAGTGCTGGGAGGAGGGGCAGATGGCTCTGTGCCCCCCAGGCGCCAGCTTGCCCTTCCTTAGGCTTCCCGAGGGAGGTCCCCCCCCACCGCCCTATTTCTCCCCTCTCTGGTGCTGCTATGGGACCCCTGGCCAGCTCCTGGCAACCTTGGGCCCCGCAATTGGGCCACCCTCACCTGGCCCCCACACCCCACCAGCCACCCAGTAGCCACGTAGCAGAGATCTGAAGCCATGGCAGCCCTGGGGCCACCCTCCCCTCAGCATCGAGGGTGCTGGATGGGATGCAGTCGGGGAAGAAAATTCTGGGGTCTTTCCAGCCACGAAGAAGAGGGAGGGAGGGAGGGAGGGAGGGATGGGCTGCTTCTCCCAGCAGGATTAGCCCCCAGGGGAGGGGCCTTCTCCATGTGACATCGCTGTCCATCCCATGGACAGTGACTCCTCCACCCAGCTCCCTCACCCCCAAGCAGGGGGAAATCGCGGGGGCCTGCCTGGTGGAGGCATTCTCTGTCCCCTTGAAACCATAAGACTGAAAGGATTCCTCCTCTGTCGATGCTACCACTGCCACCCCTATTTCTCACTTGATGATGGACTTTGGAGGCCCCTGGGCCCAGCCAAAGCACCGAGCCCCCCCAGGACACCTCCACCCCCTCCCCCAAGCAAAGCACAAATCATGGTGCCTGTGCCGAGTGCATGGGCCACGAGGGACCCCTGCCTGGCCCAGAGCCCACTGCAACCTTTCCCCGGGAGAGCTGCCGCCCACGGCCAAAAGTGGGCACAAGGCAGGGTCTGCACTGGGGCCTGGGGAGATGGGGTTTTCTGTGCCCAAGTCTGCAGGGAGCTGAGCACGACTGGCCCGGGGAGCAGTGGCCCAGTGCGGGGGGAGGGGGGGGCATTGCTTCTCTGTGACACCAGCACCGCTGAGCCCCAGCCCTTCCTGGCTGGAGATGAGATGAACTTGGTATTCCCGCTGTCATCCTGCCTCTGGGTGCCCTGTCCCGGCCCACCCCGACCTCCCTGTACCCGTTTTCTTAAAATTTTGATATTGTTGTAACGCGGAGCAGACCACCGAGCCTCTTAGGAGGAGGGTGTGACGAGCGCAGCGCGGGGATGCGTGCGAGCGGCCTCGCAGGCCCACACGGCACGTGGGGAGCGTGCACCTCTGGCAGCCCAGGCACAGGCACCAGAGGACAGGCTCCGGGAGCGCCAGCCCCTCCATGTGCCCAGGCCACTGGTGCCATCATCCTCCTGCCACCCTCCAAGCGGAGGAACCAGGACGGTGTTGGGTGGGGTGGCCTCCTGGGGCCCCACGGCCCCTCCTCGTGAGCAGCGGGAGGTCTCCCAGGCCAGGGGGAGGGCGCCGG